GAGTCTGGCATGCCCTCCCTGGCCCTTAGCTCATATCTGGTATGCTCCATGGTTTGCTGGTTATAGCACGGAGCAATACAACCTCAACCCAACCCACACAATATGTTGACGTATAACATATAACATCATATACAGGTAAACATGTAGGATCACAGGTAGTCCTACAGATCTACCAGACTAACATATAAAGACTAGCAAAACAATACTAGCATGCATATCTATCCCATACTCGACATATCAACAATTTCAGGTTATCAAACCAAAGGGCCGGCCTTGGGGCCTTCGACCCGAAAGTACAGTGAGGAAAACTCACATCATAAGTAGTGCATAACTGATAAGGTCTGACTCCGAATCTCATCTCTCGACTCGAATGCCTACAACCACCATGTGACCAATCTCATCAAAATCCCGAAATACCCAAATTTCCCTCAAAAGTCAAACTTGGTGAACCATGGTCAAAGTTAGAGTCAACGGTCAAGGTCAACAGTCCATGTTGACCCAACTCGTCGAGTTTCTATAGTACTTAGAAGGTCGAGAAAACCCTAGCGAACTCATCGAGTTGGCTGGAAAACTCGCTGAGTTTTCCCCATCTTAACACATTCATTCCTTTTATCGAATCTAAGGCTTCAAAATGTAGATCTGATACCCTGGAGCTGGAAAACGACGTAAGGTTGCCAACTTCGCTCATGCACGCCAAAAAGAAGCTATAGAACTCATGAAAGGCTTGATAAAGGACTTAATGCATGGATGAGGCCTAGAACCTAATAAAGCTTGCAACTTAAAGCCAAATGAGGCTACAAATGACCAGATCTAAAGTGACAACCAATAAAATAGTCAACTCCTTGAACAACCTGACAATGAGCCAATAATCATAATAAAACTTCAAGGAAGAGATCTAAGAAATAAAGAAGCAAGGGAAAGACTGCAACAAATGGGGAGGTTCTGGATCTATAGCCTTCATTTCAAACTAGACACCTCAAACTTCAAGGCTCCTTCAAAAGAGTACCAAAAATCAACTATCCAAGCTCTCCACAAGCTCACACACTCAACTTTGGAAGATGATACACGAAATTAGGGTTTCTGGACAGAGGAGGCTGGTAAGGAGGCTAGCCAAGGGACTTAAGGCCTTTAAATAGGGTGCAACACCCTAAAAATTAGGGTTTCTTTCTCAGCTGCCAACTCGCCGAGTTGAGGCACCCCGACTCGCCGAGTTGGGTCATTAATATCCGCGGCCAAAAGTCACCCTACAACACGCCGAGTTGAGGCTTCTAACTCGCCGAGTTCCCAAGGAAAAACATGTTTAAAGAATCAAATTTCATACCTGAGGATTAGGATGTTACAAAAAATTTTGAAACTTGCTCAGTAGTTTCATAGATCTTATTAATCTTCATATTTGTCACTTTTTGGTCACTTTAGTGCATAAAGTCTAGATCTTGAAAGTTTGTAACCTTGTTATGGATAAAGTTGGAAACTTTATCCATCTAAACATCATATTGATTCAGATATGACAGTTGGAGACTTGGACTTAATGGATTAGTTTGAGAAATATGCATTTTTGGTCCCTTTGAAACTTAAATACTAGATCTTAGTTGTTTAGACCATCCTAATGGATGAAATTAGAAACTTTATCCATTATGGAGTTACTAAGAACCATAAAAATGAGATGTTTGTCCTTATATCGCTTCCATGTAAGAGTCGTGATGTCTTAATGGATTATTAAGTTAGGGTTTTAGCTTTTGGGCTTTGTCTAGCCATGGAAAGTCATAAAGGTGGAAACTTTATGACTTAGAATGATGTTATGTGTCTAGATCTGAGTTTGGACGAGAGGTATTTAAGGAATAAGTTCTTAATATGAAGTTTTGGATTTAGACGGAGTACGCTAGGCCTACCAATGGGTACGTTGCGCGTACCGGGTTAGAGTCCCATGGTTTTGGATGAGATGCGACTACGCCCAATGTAGTAGCTGAGTAGGCTGGGCGTACTCAACCAACTTGACCTTCCCTTGACTTTTTTACTTGCTGACTTTGAACTTTGACTTAGGGTTTAACAAAGTTTGCCTTAGGGACATTTTGGGTATTTTAAGTAGTATTTTGAGACTAGGTTATTGTTTGTTGTATAGGTGACCTGTAGAGTCAGCCGTTAGAGCTGTGATCTCTTCAATTATCTTTTCAGACTATGAGGTGAGTTTTCCTCATTGTACTTGTAGGTCGAAGGCACTAATGCCGACCCACTGGTTTATATATCTTGGTATATTGGATTGATGTTATGCTGGTTATATGATAGATTGGTAGATATGTATGATTACCTGTGTTCACTGAGCAAGTGTTAGATTGGTGGATTTGTATGATTACTTGTATTTGCTGGTTATTGATTGTTATTGTATATGTCGACATGTTATGGTTTGTTGGGCTGAGGCGGTTCTGCTTTGTGCTGAAGGCCAAGATATCCGGGGTGGTCCAGATAGATTGTAGGCAGGCGAGGCGATCCAGTCAGGCCGAGGACCCGAAGAACGGTCCAGATAGGCTGAAGGCCTGCAAGGTGGTCCAGTCAGACTGAAGGCTCATACATGCATGGTTTTATCTGTATTAGTTGTGTGTGGTATTTTAGAAAAACTCACTAAGCCTTGGCTTACAATGTAAGTTTTATGTTTCAGGTACTTCATATTATAATATATTTTTAAGGGTATATATTATATTAAGCATTTTTTTATTATATTTTTTACATTATGAAACACAAAAGAAATATTATATAGCATGCTTAATTGGTAAAATCTTTTGGAACTAAATCTTCATACTCTAATCTTTCTCTTCTAATAAATAAATCTGCAATATACCACATGTCATCCTCTAAAAGAATTACTTTGGCTTTCTTTACCACCACACCTTTTCCTCCACTAATAAAAACCCTAAAAATATTTTGTACTCATAAAGGTCCAATTTTATACGGTAAATATCTGAAATTATAAGAAACGAATTATTTCTTATGTTTTTCTTCCAATAATCTGATTTCTGATTTTGTTATTCATTTTCTTTAAGTTTCATATTATGGCCTTAGAATAATGGAACATGTTTGATTTTGTTGGGGTGAAAACCTGTTGATGTTGATACTTGTGTGGTCTAATTTTTTTTTTATTGATTTCCTATCTACGAAGACACTACTAGAAAACTGGTGCAATAGCTACAGCACAATCCGTAGCTATTCCGTAGCTATAAGCGGATAGCTACGGAATTGCTACGGAAAAATGTCTGTAGCATAATGGCCCGTGGGAAAATTATAGCTACGGATTAGCTACGAAATCGCTACAGAATAGCTACGAAATTTTCCGTAGCTACCATAGCTACGGAATAGCTACGGAAATAAATAGCTACGAATTTCCTACAGAATAGCTACGGAATAGCTACGGAAGTGGATAGCTACGGAATAGTTACGGAAATAAATAGCTACGGAAATCTGTAGCTATTCGGTAGGTAACTTTGTTTTATTTTAAAAAAAATATATTTTAAAATTTTAAAAATTTCCAATTTTTTGTCAAATACCACATTCAACTCACAATTGTCCCAAACTAGGTAAAAGAAACAACATAAAAACGTGAATTTATTAGCATAGATGCACCAACATTTATATAATGTTATAATTAATATAATGTTCTAAAACGGGCTGTTATTCTACTTAACTCTTCTCTCACTGAAGAGGCTGCTGCTGAGGTACTTAGTCTTAACAGTTCCCGTTTAATCTTGACAGCTTTGGAATCTGCTTACATCAACTCGTCTGTTGAGAGAGTGCATTCCCTTCGTGATTCTCTGCGAAGCATTTCAAAAGGTATCAGTATATACCAATAAATGAAAAAGTATAATCTACAATAGATGTTACTATGATGTTTTATGATTGAAACATATATGAATTGTAGTAGTATAATATGTGAGATATTAAACACTATTATTATACAATTTGGACATATAATTAAAAGATTAAATAACATAATCATAAATACAACCAATGGGAACATGCAAAGTTTCTGATATGTGCATATTGTATATGTGCATATTATAGAATCCAAGAATATTAGTACTTGAAGTTTTTAATTTATTTAAGAGAATGTTAAGATATACCTCAGTCTTTGATTCATAGAATGCTTGCTGCATGCTTTAATATATGTTAATATAAACCTGCAATAAATTTATAATAAAATTGCTTGGTAGATTGTAAAAAATAATAAACTATTGTAAAAAATAATGAACCATTGTATACTCACCTTCAAAATAAAAGAACATTAGTTTAGCACGAAGAAGCAGCTGCAAAAACTCACGGGCTAAAGGAAAGAACCTGCCAAAATAACAACCTACTTTTATTCATTGTTTATTAATTATTCATAGATTACTGTCATTCTACAACATCAAAAATTTAATATCAGTTGGAATGCCCCTAATGGCTACTTTTTTAAAACATATATACCCTAATTATTCTAAAGTTGTATTCAATAATGCCACGAACAAAAAAACCATGTAACATGCTAGCTAAAAAAGGATGTTAAACAAAGAGTCGTCAGTTTACCTTAATGTGTTCAAGACTTACCTAGTAGAGGAAGAATGGCCAAAGCTAACCGTTTAATTGAACTTCAAACATAGATTGTGTAGTGGTCAATAACAGAACATCTGTAACAAATAAAAAACAAATATTAGTAACAGAACATCAATTTTCTGCAATGGGATGGGCCAAGGAAAGACAACGAGGTGGTTTGCTCAGCTCTAAAAAAATGAAAATTTTAACCAATGAATTAAGCTAAATTCAACCAAATTTTAACCTAATGAATTTAACCAAGCCATGATCAGCTTCACTAGTTACCAGAATTTTAATAAATTCAACCAAAATTTAACCTAAAACCTCAAATTCGACCTAAAATATAATCTAAAACCTCACATTCAACAAAGCAAATCAACATTATCAATGAATTAAGCATCTAAAGGTGTATACATGAAGTAATATAAAAAAAAGGGTTTTACCTATCTTGGGGAAGAAATCGAGCAAGAAGGCGGTGAGATTAGGAGGGCAGATGCGCCGGCGAGATGGGGAGGGCAGATGGAGACGGCGACCAGGACCGCCGGTTGGAAAAACGGAGAAGGAGGGTCGACGAAGGCAGCTGCGTCTTCGTCGAACAAGGGGATGTGTTCGTCTGCGTCTTCGACTTCGTGTTCGTCTGCGTCTTCGACTTCGTCTCCCTGCGGCGGCGACTGTTCTTCGCAGATGGAGGCAGCAAATCGACCGGACGAGCGGTGGTCGCGTTTGAGGAGCAAAGGACGAGAAAAATGGAGGAGATGGCGGAAAAGGGAGAAGAAAGGAGGAGAAGTCGGGAGCACTGGAGCAGGAAATCGCGTTTTTGCCCTAAGATGAAGCTTTATTAAACGGAAAAAAAAAGACGGGGCTAAAAAAAACTAGACTAAAAAAACTTGGGTGGGGTTCGAACTAGGGTTCCCCACATACAGTGTCACAAGCTTGACCATCCGGCCGGGCATGCCACATCCGAATGTAATAGCCCCTTAGTGATTCTTATACAATAACTATGTTTCCTTTAATTTATTATTATTATTATTATTATTATATTATGATTATTAATTATTATTATTATTATGATTTCTATTATTATTATTATTATTATTATTATTATTATTATTATTATTATTATATTTCGATATTATTATAATAATTATTATTATTATTCCATTATTATTATTATTATTATTATTATTATTAATTATTATTATTATTATTATTATTTTATTATTAATAATAATTATTATTATTATTTCCATTATTATTATTATTATATTATTATTATTATTATTATTATTTCCATTATTATGATTATTATTATTATTATTATTATTATTATTATTATTAGTATTATTATTATTATTTCCATTATTATTATTATTATTATTTCTATTATTAGATAATTATTATTATTATTATTTCCATTTTATTATTATTATTATTATTATTATTATTATTATTTCCATTATTATTATGATTATTATTATTATTTCCATTATTATTATTATTATTATTATTATTATTATTATTATTATTATTATTCACCAGCTTATAGCTATTAATATTGTTCATAAAGTTGTATGCACATTCGAGATCAATTACTCATTTCACGATGACGACGGTGGTGGTGGTGGCACTGCTGGTGTTGGTGCTGGTGATGATGATGATGATGATAATGATGATGATGGTGATGATGGTGATGATGAGGATGATGATGGTGTTGGTGTTGGTGCTGGTGATGATGATGATGATGATGGTGGTGATGATGATGGTGATGATGGTGATGATGATGATGATGGTGGTGGTGATGATGGTGATGATGGTGATGATGATGATGGTGGTGATGATGATGGTGGTGATGGTGATGATGATGATGTTGAAGATGATGTGATGATGATGGTGGGTAATGATGGTGATGATGGTGGTGATGATGATGATGGTGAAGATGATGATGGTGATGATGATGATGATGAACATGATGTGATGATGATGGTGGGTGATGATGGTGATGATGGTAGGGATGATGGTGATGGTGGTGATGATGACGATGGTGATGATGATGATGATGGTGGTGGTGGTGGTTATGATGATGATGGTGGTGGTGGTGATGATGATGATGATGATGATGGTGGTGATGATGATTATGATGATGATGGTGGTGGTGGTGATGATGATGATGATGATGGTGGTGGTGGTGATGATGATGATGGTGGTGGTGGTGGTGGTGATGGTGATGATGGTGGTGATGGTGGTGGTGATGATGATGATGATGATGATGGTGGTGGTGATGATGATGGTGGTGTGATGGTGATGGTGGTGATGATGATGGTGGTGTGATGGTGATGGTGGTGTGATGGTGATGGTGGTGATGATAATGGTGGATGATGCTGCTGGTGGGTGGTGGTTATCTGATGCTGATGGTGGTGGTGGTGATGCTGATGCTGCTGTGTGGTGGTGTGATGATGATGCTGATGCTGGTGGTGGTGTGGTGATGCTGGTTGATGGTGATGATGGTGATGGTGCTGGTGATGATGGTGATGCTGCTGATGCTGCTGGTGGTGCTGGTGGTGCTGATGCTGCTGATGATGATGCTGGTGGTGCTGCTGCTGATGCTGATGCTGCTGGTGCTGATTTGCTGATGCTGATGCTGATGCTGCTGCTGGTGATGATGCTGATGGTGCTGATGCTGCTGATGTAGGTATCGTGTTTGTGAGATGTATGTGAACGTCTCCTAAGCATTATAGTGTTAACCCGTAACCGAGTAATGGATCCCGTATGAGCACACGGGTTTATGATTGATATTAATAGCTATAAGTTGGTGAAAATATAGATAATCATGTATAATAGAGGTGTGAAAAAAACGGAGCGAAAAAAACGACGTCTGGTGCCCGAAAAATCGAAAATAAGAAAAATTCGTAGCTAATTAACTACGGATTAGCTACGGAATTATAACGGAAAACATATTCCATAGCTAATCCGTAGCTAATTACCTACAGATTAGCTACAAAATATGATTTCCGTTAGAATTCCGTAGCTAATCCGTAGCTAATTAGCTACGGATTAGCTACAAATTTTTCTTATTTTCGATTTTTCGGGCACCAAACGTTGTTTTTTTTCGCTCTGTTTTTTTCACACATCTATTATACATGATTATCTATATTTCCACCAATTTATAGCTATTAATATCATTTATAAAGTCGTGTGCACATACGGGATCCATTGCTCGTTTAATGGTTTAACAATATAATGCTTATGAATACGTACACATACATCTCACAAACACGTATACATACACATATACACGTACACATATACCACAACTTATTCATGTATATAAATATACATATACAAACATAATCCATCACAAGTTGGTGAAAAGTATAGGCATTACAATGTTAAACTGTGAAACGAATACTTGATCCCGAAGGGGCACACGACTTTATGAACGATATTAATAGCTACAAGTTGGTGAAAATATAGATAATCATGTATAGTAGAGATGTGAAAAAAACAAAGCGAAAAAAACGACGTTTGGTGCCCAAAAAATCGAAAATAAAAAAAATCCGTAGCTAATCCGTAGCTAATTAGCTACGGATTAGCTACAGTTTTTTCTTATTTTTGATTTTTCGGGCACCAAACTTCATTTTTTTCGCTCCGTTTTTTTCACACCTCTATTATACATGATTATCTATATTTTCACCAATTTATAGCTATTAATATCATTTATAAAGTCGTGTTCACATACGGGATCCATTGCTCGTTTAATGGTTTAACACTATAATGCTTATGAATACGTACACATACATCTCACAAACACGAATACATACACATATACACATACATATATACCACAACTCATTCATGTATATAAATATACATATACAAACATAATCCATCACAAGTTGGTGAAAAGTATATGCATTACAATGTTAAACTGTGAAACGAATACTTGATCCCGAAGGGGCACACGACTTTATGAACGATATTAATAGCTACAAGTTGGTGAAAATATAGATAATCATGTATAGTAGAGATGTGAAAAAAACAAAGCGAAAAAAACGACGTTTGGTGCCCAAAAAATCGAAAATAAAAAAAATCTGTAGCTAATCCGTAGCTAATTAGCTACGGATTAGCTACGGTTTTTTCTTATTTTTGATTTTTCGGGCACCAAACTTCATTTTTTTCGCTCCGTTTTTTTCACACCTCTATTATACATGATTATCTATATTTTCACCAATTTATAGCTATTAATATCATTATAAAGTCGTGTTCACATACGGGATCCATTGCTCGTTTAATGGTTTAACACTATAATGCTTATGAATACGTACACATACATCTCACAAACACGAATACATACACATATACACATACATATATACCACAACTCATTCATGTATATAAATATACATATACAAACATAATCCATCACAAGTTGGTGAAAAGTATATGCATTACAATGTTAAACTGTGAAACGAGTACTTGATCCCGAAGGGGCACACGACTTTATGAACGATATTAATAGCTACAAGTTGGTGAAAATAAAGATAATCATGTATATTAGAGGTGTGAAAAAAACGAAGCGAAAAAAACGACGTTTGGTGCCCGAAAAATTGAAAATAAGAAAAATCCGTAGCTAATCTGTAGCTACTTAGCTACGGATTAGCTACGGAATTCTAACGGAAAGCATACTCCGTAGCTAATCCGTAGGTAATTAGTATCCGTAGGTATTCCATAGCCATTCCGCAGCTAATTAGCTACGGAATAGCTACAGATTTTGCATTTGTAGCTATTCCGTAACTAGTTAGCTACGGAATAGCTACGGACCCGCATCCGTAGCTATTTCGTAGCTATTCCTTTAGTAAACTAGGGCAACCCATTCTGTAGCTGATCCGTAGCAATTCCGTAGCTAATTAGCTACGAAAATTTTCCGTAGCTATTTTCCGTAGGAAAACACCATGTTTTCTAGTAGTGAGACTCGCATAAATGTCTTTTAGTATGTATTTGAAATAGTGATGTAGATTTAGCTAAGAATCGTTGAATACATAAAGCTTTATGTCAATCTTTTTTTTCTTTTGTTGAATCTTTTTTTATTTTAATGTTTTTAGTAGGTTAAGTAGTTGTTTTGGTGACCAATTAGGGCTATTGTTTCTTGTAATTGGTTTCGTGAGAGCATGATGCTCTAGAGTGTAGTTTGGTCACTTGAACTCATCTTTGTTGAGAAGGTAAATTTCCTAATTGCCCCTGTATCATCTAAATTTTCCTTCACAATATTTATAAATTTTTGGGTATGTTTTAATTCTTATCAAGCAGCTAGGTAATGATTCCAAATTTCTACTTAAAAGAACATTACTCTTATTTTCAAACAATTTTATGCATTACAATAAAATAATGATCGATACATTTTCAGATAAAATATCAAACTTTGTTTAAAAATAATTATATGTAAATCTATGATTATTGGTTACGATTTTTAAAGTTATTTAATTTTTAGTTTTTATTTATTTTTTACTTTGTCAAACCGTGTATAACCTAGTAAGTAAAAATATAGGTTTTGAGAGATAGACGATGGCTTTAATGGCAGAAGGTATGAGTTTATCAAGTAAATAATGTCTAATATGATGAATCGTTTATCGTTTTCGTAATTATTTATATATTAACCATTAATACTTATGAACATCAATACTTTAGAGCATCAACAATAACTTGACGGATTAGTTAACCACAAAACTGTAGAAATAAATATAAAATGATAAACCAAGAGTAAATCATATGATCAAAAAAAGTAGATATATCTTACCAGATATGTGGCAGAATTCGTGGAAAGTTATCCGAAGTATAACAACATATAAGTTGTTTTAAATAAAATTCTACAATCATATTAATAATATAGTTTTATAATCATAATTGTTAGATTATGTATTTTGATTTGTTACCAAATACATGACACTAATATATTTAAACATATC